GTGTTCAGAAGGATATTTTCCAAACTAATAAGTTAGATGTACCTCCCAAGGGTCTGAGGTTGGGGGTCATGCCTTTCCCACTATCTGCATGGTTCAAACCTTTTAAGAGAACCTACTCACCTATTACTTGGGTAATTCTAAACTTCAACTTGTAAAATTGAATGCTGTCACTGACAGCATTAATATAGAATGGAGAGTTCTCAACCTTTGGGGTACTTAAGGACCATATGAGAATTGTTAAAAACTGTGGCCACTCAGGTCCCACATAGACTTAACTGACCAACATCTCTATATGGAAGACAGTAATAAATAAAGTTAAACTATCTACAATTTAACAAGCTTCCAAAGTTATTCTAGTGACTGGCTTACTGTAATTCCAACTGTTATCTAATTCTTACCATGTACTACCCACTTAATAATTTGGCCTTCCTAGTACATTATATATATTATCTCATTTAATCCTGACAATGCTATGAAAAGGTGCTACTGTCAACACTACCCTCCAGTCATCCTTATATTTGGTACAGATGAAGACACTACAATACAAAGAGGTTATTTAACTGGCTCAAAGTCACAGGACTAGTATGTGGCAGGGACAGAATGCCCAACAAGGTGTGTAAAACCACTAACAGAGTTTCTTGATCTGAGAAACTAGCAGTATATTCCAGTCAAGTTTTATTTTACACACTGCTTTGTTTTATATACTGCATTTTTAAAATACTTTAACATATAAAGAATATACTTTAAAACATAAAAAACATGGCAAATTGGAGGGTGGTAAGGAGAAGGAGGTAGCTGAGTAGTAGAGATTCAAGAGGCCCAGGGTTCATTTCACAACACCAACACCAAATAAATAAACCAGGGGGGGAAAGAGGCCCTATGGCTGTCTGAATACTTCCAATAGAACCAGCATAAAGTTGAGCTATGGTCATATTCCCTCCCAGACCCTTGATCTGAGCACCTAAAGTACAGAGACCACATATGTCTTCTAAACTGTACTCAAAAAGGATTTAGTAAAGAATCTACCCAACAAATTCAGAGAAGTCTTGATGACTGTCCTGTGGGGAATGAAAGGCAGTTAGGTGGAGAAGAAAGAGACAGCTGGGTACAGGTGGCTCATGCCTGTAATCCTAGTTACTCAGAAAGCTGAGATCTGAGGATCATAATTCAAAGCCAACCCGAACAAGAAAGTCTGTGAGACACTGATTTCCAATTAAGTACCAAAAACGTTGGAAGTGGAGCTTTGGCTCAAGTGATAGAGCACTAGCCTTGAAAGAGAAAAAAAAAAAAAAAAAGCACAAAGACAGTGTGCCCAGGTTCTAAATTCAACACACATACATACACACACACACACACACACACACACACAACTTAATTCATGCTGCTTCAAGAGAGTAATGAATGTCAACAGGTTAAAAAAGAGAGGACTAGATTTTGATAACCTAAAACATGTCTGACAACCAAGGTCCACCCAGGAACAGAAAACAGTTTGAAGCTATGACACAAGGTAAGATGATGGACTATCAAGCCTCTGAGAGTTCTTGCAAAGCTCAATCAAATCCTGTTTATGATAAATTTCTTCTTTCATACATTAAGTAGTAAAAACTACAATAAGTAGTAGAAACTACTATAACAAGTAGTAGAATACATCACGTTATCCTCTATACTTTTAAATGACTTGTGTAAGTAGTAGAATTTTTTTAAAGTATAGAGGATAACGTGATGTATTCTACACACCTAGGCCCTCAAGGTTCTTGAGAAGAATAAGTTGCCCAGGAGTAAAGCTGAGCCAAGAGGAAGGTGATATATACAACAGGAAATAGCAAGGAGTAAGGAGGCTTCTAGGCCAGAAACAAGACAGAAGTAAACAAAGATGCAAAAAAAGAATCCCCACCATTTGAACTAGATTGTTCGGGCTCCACAAGGACAGGCAGGTAGAAGACAGCTGCCCTAAGAATTAGGGGAGAAAAATTATTCCATGTGGCAGTAATGGTCTATACATATAAGGAGCAGAAAAAACCCCAAGGTGGTGAGGAACAAGCTAAAAACAAACATTAATTATGGAACTTTTGAGACTAGTACATCCAAGGCACAACTTTATGGATGCCATGCTGGCACTCGGTAAAGAAAGCTTAGTTCATTTTCCCTTTTATTACATTTTACAAATCAAAAACTGTGTCATCATCCAGGCATGGTGGTGAACATTTGTAATCCAACACTTGAAAGATTAAGAAAGGAGGATCACAAGTTTGAGGCAAACCTGCACTACATAGTAAAATCCTGTCTCAAAATAAAAATAAATAGCCGGGCGCTGGTGGCTCACACCTGTAATCCTAGCTACTCAGGAGGCTGAGATCTGAGGATCACGGTTCAAAGCCAGCCCGGGCAGGAGAGACCGTGAGACTCCTATCTCCAATAAACCACCACAAAACCGGAAGTGGCACTGTAGCTCAAGCGGTAGAGGGCTGGCCTTGAGCTGAAGAGCTGAGGGACAGCGCCCAGGCCCAGAGTTCAAGCCCCACAACAGACCAAAATAAATAAATAAATAAATAAAAAATAAAAAGTAACTTGTGTCATCAATGATTTCCTTCTTAATTTCTTTTTCATTTTTAATACTCATAGACCCTTCTCCTCCTTTCAAGGAACTCTTAAATGTTGTGCTTTTAAACATGTGTTTCATTATTGTCCACTACTTAATTTGACATCTAGACTTGCAGTTATCACAACTGACAGTTATTAAAACTCAGCTCTGAGCCTAATGCCCTAAACAGTTTACAATAGTGCTACAAAATAATGATAAAACTGACTCTTAAGTAGATCCCTAAGAATGGGAGTCTCAAACAAATCTCAAGCCCAGAAAATGATTTCATAGCCAACTTCTAAGTCATGGCACTGAGCTACCCTCAGGAAAACAGAATTAACAAAAGACTAAAGGAAAAAAAAAAACACTAAACCCAAAACCAAACAAAATATAAACATTTGAATAATAAACTTACTGTTCTTCTGGCCAATCATTTTCTCAAGATCTATGTAAACTATTTTAAGGAACTACAATCTTGCTCTATAAAAAGCAAGATCCCACCAGCTGAGATTCTCAGTAATTACTGGAGTCTTAACACTCTAAGCTTCTGATTTTTGCTTGCTATCAGTACCAAAAACACGATTGCCTCTTTTACATGAAAAAAAAAAAAAAGGTGAATCTGTGGGTTAATTTAAAAGCTTGACAATACTTAGATCTGGAATTTCAGTTCTAACACAAATTGTTAAAAGCTCTAACACAAATTGGCAAAAGCTTTTGGTAAGTTTGTCACATCAATTGTAACATGGAGATACAGTATTTGACACCTATACCACAAATAAAGCTCTCTTCAAAGGAGTTTGACTTTGGTTAACCTTAGCTAAGAGAATTAAAAAGCTATAGCTGAAAACTTGATAAAAATTTGTGAAACTTTAGGAGGCTGAGAGTGTATTTTTAGTAATCAAGAACTTAGCTAGTATGTGTGAGGTCTTGGTTGGACCCCCAACAATGAAATAAAATTGAAACTTTATAAAGACCTAAAATCGTGTTACAGGTTAACCAGTAATAAACAATGAGTGACCATGTGCCATCAGACAATTTTCCAAAGATGAATAAGCAAACAGCTCATCAAAATTTAAATCGTTTTTAGCAAGTGGGAAAAATAAGTAATATTCAGTACCCTGGGTACTGTGTTGTTTTCCTTATTTCTACAGTCTCCGCGTCAATGTTACTCTTCTCCCACTACCCAGATGAGCAAATAGAACCCTGTCTAGGATCCCTCAAACACAGAGCTCAGAAATAATAACAAATATTAAAACAATTTCTAAGGCCAGAGTTGCACCTGAATATGGTGCAAGGTACATGGCATCATGCAACTATTTGTCGCTTTTGACTCCTCATCACTGCCTCCCAAAGGACTAGAGAACGAGTGCTCAACTCTCACTGCCACATCCACAAATTAAAGTATGGTGTTTAAAGAACTCACAGGTTCTACAAAGAGGTCAGTCCGTGTTTAATGAACGAGCCCCTACTACCCAGAAATGCACCCGGATGCAACGCTCCACACACGCTGTTAGGCTCCACCTCATCATTATTCTTAATTCTCAAAAAATAAGCGCAACTATTGTCAAAGAAAACATTATGTAATAAGTTAGGACTCTGGAAAACCCCATACTCATCCCAACAGCTAAGAAAATGAAATGCAGGATTCGATGAAGCTCCATTGTACCCAACCAGACTAACGTGCAAGATCACACACTCATCTTCCTCCAAGCGTCTCTGCCAGCACCAAAGAACAACAAAGGCAAGTTGAGGAGGCTGCACAGGCTCTCCTCGGCACTTGTCCGCTTCCCCAGCTTCGGAAAGCAGCCGCCTGTCCCCCCCAGGACCGACGCGACCCCGCGCACCCCGCCGGGCCGGCGGCTGCGCTGCGAGCGGCTGGCTCAGGCTTTGTCTGGCCCGGCCGGGAATCCCGGCCGCCCGCCCGCCCGCCCGCCTCCCCGGCACCCCTACTCTCCGGATCCGTCTCCACACCCATCACTCGCCCGGGACTAGTTGTCGCGGGTGCCTCGCAGCCCCCTCCCTGGCGATCCGGGCTCCTCTCAAACACCACCCGCGCGTCGCCAGCCTCTGCCCCGCGGAAGGGAGGCTCAGATCCGGAGGGGGCCCGGGGTGGGGTCTGAGAGAGAGAGAGAGAGAGAAAGGGGCACACAAAGCCCGGCCGGGTGACCCCACAAGCCGCTCCCCTCCCTCTGCAGTGCAGCCGGGCATCGCGACCCACTGACTGGACGGACCACCACCGCGCCCAGCTCCCCGCCCCGCTCCCACCTCAGGGCCGCCCCCTCCCCCAAAAGTGCGCCCCGGAGTCCGTGACAGCGCTGGACATCGCCCCCACCCGGACCCCGCGCCCGCCGCCGTGGGGGAGGAGGAGGGCCTCGGGGGTCTCGGGTTGAGACCTCCGGGTCCCCAGCCCGGTACTTACAGCCCTATTAGTCACTACAGTTGCGGCCGCGGACCGGACAGCCGCCGCCTTCTCCACCCCAATGAGGTTAAGTGCTTGGTGCGGGGATTAAAAAAAAAAAAAAAAAAAAAAAGGCGAGAAGCCGACTGCGCCTGCGCAGTGCGGTCTCCCTTATTCCCTTTACCGCCTTCGACCCCGCTAGACCATAGAGAGTGTAAACCGAGCCCAGAGAGGCAGCTGCCTCTCTATGGTAACGCCCCGCGCAGGCGCCAACCCAGAGGCGTCAGGCTTCGGAAGCCGGCTGCCCCAGGTGCTAAGCCTCGTTGAGGAATAGTGGGTTGACCCTAGTGGGGATCCGTAGGGTAAAAAATATATTTAAGGGAAGGGGGTCCAGGGTTTTTATTAGGTTCCTTAGGGAGCAAAACTCGCACTGGGAGCGTAGGAGCTCAGTAGTCACGGCAAAACGGCACCAGAAAGCGGAAGAGAGAAAGATAGTGAGGAGTCTGGAGAGCGTGGACAAAAGTCGGCCGGCCGGAACTTCCTTTGGTGGGGTGGGATTGGGGGGGGGGGTGTCTAATACCTGAGGGAAACAGTTCCACTTCTGGGTTACGGGGTCCGCTCTTCATCCGGCGATCTTGACGGAGGAAATTGTACCGGGTGGCTTTCCGTAGCTGGCCGCTCCCTCTCCCCCTCCCTCCCTCCCTCCCCTTCCCTTACCGCGGCGCGCCGGCGCGGACTCCGGGGCCGGAAGCACGAGGCCTCGGTGGCGCTCCGGGGTTTGGGGAGCGGAGCCGCCTGCGCGCGAGCGAGCTTTAGCGGCTCTGAGTCTTCTCCTTCGCGGATGGTGCTGCCTCACCCCGCCCTCGTGCTCCCGGCTGGTGACTCGGGGGAGACAGTGTCCTGGAGAATAGGAATCGGTGCAGATGGCAGGGCTGCCTTCAAGGATCCCACCCTTTGCGTCCAATACGCACCCTCGCGGGTGACTGGACTTAGAGAAAGCTGTTGTGGCGAGAGCATCTACACTGCTTCCTGGCCATCGCCGTGCGGTTGGCGGTGCCCGATGCTCCGGTGCCGAGCTGGGTGCTGCTGGGGTGCGGGGGGCAGGGGGGGGCGGGGACGGAGAGGTAAGGCCGTTTAATCCTCAGGACTTTTAGGCCTGCGGCGGAGACGCGAAACTAAAGCAATAAAGCCATGGGTATTAGGCCCTGCCTGGTATCCAGGGCCGAGAAGGTGGAGGGCCGCTGTGCAGACTCGGGAACGCCAGGGAGGAAGGATGTCAGCCCTGATTGGATCTAGACAGGATAACGGGAGCCTTAGCAGCCTTTTCACAATGGGTGAGAGACCGTGAACCATGCCAGAGAGGAAAACCTTGCCCTAAAAGGTCAAGCTGGACTGAGTGGTACACTGGGAGACAAATGAGTGTCTCTCCTTTGAAAATAGTCTCACTGAAAAGCAACTTTGACAAACAAGTGTGGAAGGTAAGTGTGCTAATAAGATAAAGAGGGCTTTTTTTTAAATGAATACAGAACTTACCATCTAAACTATTTTTATTATCTAGTTCAATACATTTCCTTTGTTGTGTGATCTCCAGCATTCTTCCATCTTGCAAAAGCAAGCTGCACCTATTAAGCAACAGTTCTCCATTCCTTGTTTACCACCGGTCCTAATAACCACCATTCTACTGTCTGTGAATTTGACTAAGTACTTCGTTGAAAAAAATATATATAGTGTTCGTCTTTTTGTGATTGACTTATTTCACAAAGTATAATGTCCTCAATAATTACCTAACTGTATTGTGGCATGTGTCAGAATGTCCTTCCCTTTCAAGGCTGAGTGCTATGACACTGTGTGTGAGTGTATGATTGTGATTAATTTTACATTTTGTTCACTAAGAGTGGATATCTCTTTAAGACCCTACTTTTAAGCTGGATGACCCAGGCCCACACCTATAATCTCAGCTAATAAGGAATCTGAGATGTGAGGAGTCAGTCAGTGGTTCAAAGCCAGTTAGGGAGTAAATGTATGATACTTAAAGAGATAGGTGGTGTTACAATTGTGAAATGTTTTATCCACAAGTATTTTAGTATTTCTAAAAGGTAAAAGTTCTTTTCTGACAAAGGTAACCTCATTACCACTATCACACCTAAACATTAATTCCATAACTACAGCCTTCTCTCATTATCTGTAGGGATTGGTTCTAGGATATATTCCCACCATAAATATCAAAATATGCAAAAAAATGCTCAAGATCCTTACTAAAGGTGGGATCTTTGCATCTCACCTACGCCCAACTTACAGTTTACATCAAATCATCTCTAGATTACTTTAATATCTAATAGAGTGTAAGTAGTCATTAATACTATGTGGTTTAGGGAACAATGACAAAAAATATCCTTTTTTTTTTTTGGGTCCGGTCGTGGGGCCTGAACTCTGGGCCTGGGCGCTGTCCCTCAGCTCTTCAGCTCAAGGCTAGCGCTCTACCACTTGAGCCACAGCGCCACTTCCGGCTTTTTTCTTTCTGCTTATGTGGTGCTGAGGAATCGAACCTAGGGCCTCAGGCATGCAAGGCAAGCGCTCTACCACTGAGCCACCTTCCCGGCCCCAAAAAATATCCTTATGCATAGTACAGATAATTTTTTTTTTCTGAGTGTTAATAGGTGTTTGATTGGATCCACTAATGTGGAACCCACAAAGAGGAGGGCTAACTATATTCTCATAAAGTTTCCCTAGATTTGTTGAAATACAATTCATATGCTGTACAAATAAAGCACCTAATTTAAAGCACCTAATCTGTCAAAGAGTTGTACAGTTATCACTATAATTCATTTTAGAATATTTTCATCACCCCTAAAAGAAACTACAAGAGACTAAGTGGTAGTGATAATGTTAGTGTAGGTCCATACATTGTAACAGGTAAACCACTGGTGAGTGCTGTTGAAAATGAGGAAGGCTACGCATATGTGGCACCAGGGAGCACATGGGAAATCTCTATGCCTTCTGTACAATGTGGCCATGAAATTAAAACTACTCTTAAAAAATAAACTTGTGTGCATACATGCAAATCCTGGGGCTTGAACTCAGGGCCTTAACACTGCCCCTATGCTTTTTTACTCAAGGCTACCACTGTACCACTTTGAGCCACAATACCATTTCTGGCTTTTTGGTAGTTAATTGGGGATAAGAATCTCATGGACGGGGCTGGGAAGATGGCTCAGTGGTAGAGCGCTTGCCTTGCATGCAGGAGGCCCTGGGTTCAATTCCTCAGCACCACATTAGCAAAATGAAAAAAGCCGGGAGTGGCGCTATGGCTCAAGTGGTAGAGCTCTAGCCTTGAGCTGAAGAGCTGAGGGACAGTGCCCAGGCCCAGAGTTCAGGTCCCACGACCGGACCCCCCCCCAAAAAAAAAAAAAGAATCTCATGGACTTTCATGCCAGGACTGGCATTGAACCACTATCGCAAGATCACAGTCTCCTGAGTAGAGAAAATTCCAGGCCAGCAAAAATAAACTTTTTAAAAGAAACACTTGGGGCTGGGAAGATGGCTCAGTAGTAGAGCGCTTGCTTTGCATGCCTAAGGCCCTGAGTTCAATTCCTCAGCACCACATAAGCAAAAAGAAAAAAGCCGGAGTGGCGCTGTGGTAGAGCGCTAGCCTTGAGCTAAAGAGCTGAGGGACAGCACCCAGGCCCAGAATTCAGGCCCCACAACCGGACCCAAAAAAAAAAAAAAAAGAAACACTCTCAAAAATCTTTTGTGTTTGTACCAGTCCTGGGGGTTAAACTCAGGGCCAGGCACTGTCCCTGAGCTTTTGTGGTCAAGACTAGTGCTCTACCACCTGAGCCACAGCTCCACTTATGTCTTTTTTGGTAGTTTATTGGGAGATAAGAGTCTTATACACTTTCCTGCCTGGGCTGTCTTGGAACCATGATCCCTAGATCTCAGCCCCTTGAGTAGCTAGGATTATAGGCATAAACCACTGGCACCCAATCAAAAAGAAAAGAAGTAAGTGCAATCTCAGCTATATGGGAGATGGAGCTGCAATGATCTCAGAAGAAGGCCACCTGCCAGATAGGTTAGTAAGATCTTATCTCAAAAAAATTGCTGTGTGATGCATTTAGTCCCAACTATATTATCAGAAAAATAACAAGAACAGCAAAGGGTGTGGTGGAAGTGGTAGAAGTCTTGCCTAGTAAGACAGAGGTCCTGATGTGAAACCACCAGTATTGGAAGCATTGGGAAGGTACCTCTATACTCAGCAGTAGCTACTAGTTCTAACTGTTGGCCAAACCAAGACCTCTATTTTACTTTCATACCAGCAATATATGAATCAAGGTTCCAATTTCTCCATGTTGTTGACATTTGTTATCTGCCTTGATTATACAAACCTACTGGGTATAAAGTGGTATTTCATTGTGATTTTAATTTATATTTCTCTAATGGCATAATTCCACACATTCTCACTTGTACTTTTTGTTGTTGGTGGTCATGGGACTTGAACTCTGGGCCTGAGCACTATCTCTCAGCTTTTCAGCTCAAAGTTAACATTCTACCGCTTGAGCCACAGTGCTACTTCCAGTTTTCTGATGGTTTATTGGAGATAAAGCATTTCACAGCTTTTCTGCCCCAGTTGGCTTTGAATCGTGATCCTCAGATCTCAACCTACTGAGTAGCTATGATTACAGGCATGAGCTACGAGCATCCAGCTGCTTCCTCTATTTTTTAAATAAACCCAGCTCTCTTGTACTTATTGATAATGTTACCATCACAAAAATGTCTATTCAGATCCTTTGCTCATTTTAATTAGGTTGTCTTAATGAATTATAAAAGCTCTTTAAATATTGTAAAGTCCCCTATCAGATATATGATTTGCAAATATTTGCTCCACAAAGTGGTTTGTATTTTTTACTTTCTTGATAATGGCCTTTTTTGAGAATGCTGGGGTTTGAACCCAGAACTTTGTACTTGCTAGGCAGTCACTCTACCACTTGAATTACACCTCAGCCCGTTTGCTTGTTACATAGTATCATGTCTTCTCCAGGCTTGGCTGGACTATGATCCTCTTATTTGCATTTTCCACATAGGTGGAACCACTGTACCCAGTTTTTTATTGGCTGAGATGTGAAGGGGAACCTTGCTTTTTGTCTAGCTGGCTTCAAACCACAATCCTGCTCTTTATCCCTTGAGTAGCTTTAAAATACAGATTCCCTCCCTTAGTCTCATTTTTCCTTGAAGAAATAAAGTTATTTGACTAACAGGTTTCCCACATACTAGATTTTTCTGGTTATATTCCT